CCCCAAAACCCCAAAACCCCAAAACCCCAAAACCCCAAAACCCCGATAAATTGTAATTTGGTTGAAAGTGTATTGAGTTATCTTGAAATAGCACCAATGAAATTAGTAATTTCTTGGAGCGAAATAGAAGCTCTGAGCTGGCTTCTTTTGCAATTGCTCAAAGTCAGAAGCCTTAATGGCCATGAAAGTCTTTCCATCAATCTGGATGGTAGAAGGGTAGCCATTTGGTAAAACCTGCTGGATTGGAGCAACAGGAATTTGTGGAATAGCTCTTCTTGTAGGAACTGGTGGAGCAATTTGTTTAGCAGGCTTTGGAATTGGCTCTTCAATTGGAGCAACTTTGACCAAACTATCTTCACTATCATTAGACTTAATAGTCATGTTTGGATCTTGTTTCTCTTCTTCAACAACTGGAGAGATCACTTGATGGCTTTCAATATCTGTGCAGACTTCTAGTTTAGATTCTTCTCTATTTCTAACTCTTTTACATTTCTTCTCTTTCTTGCTCTTTTTGTTGCATTTGAGGCCAAGTTTTTCACCTTCTTCAATTTTTAAAAGAGTTTGATACAATTTCTTAACAAGGGAGGCGGCGATTAAAGCATCAATGAAGACCATTCAGCACATAATAACTGTGAAAGTTATCATGGCTTCCTTGATATCAAAGCTATGTCCTTCTTGCCATTCTAGAAAATCGTCAGAAATGTTGGATAAAAAATAACACGTAGTTAACTTTGAATACTTACGGGGTCTGGAATAGAAACCATCCGTTGGTGGAGGACCGTGGGGTGGTCCATGAGGAGGTTCATGTGGTGGTCCATGAGGTGGTCCATGAGGTGGTCCATGAGGTGGTGCATGTGGAGGTGCATGTGCCCCATCCCAAGGCATATCTTCAAATTCAGCATTAGGGGTATCTTTATCATGTTGCTTCTTATGCTTTCTACCTCCATGCTTCTTACCTTTATGCTTCTTTCCTCCATGATGTTTTCTATCTTTGCCATGCTTCTTCTTGTGATGTCTTTCTCCAAGGTTTCTATGACCGTCTTCAAGGGGCTCTGACTCAAGAGGTTCATCAATCATCACCAAGTAATCTTCAAGGTCTTGATCAAATAGGAAGGTATCCAAGAATGGATCTTCCGCCATTGGCTCAGGATGGTTCAACCAGAAATCTAAATCTTCTTCAGTGAATGGTAAAAAGTTGTCATTCATAGGTGGCATTGGAAGCTCTGGAAGAGGACCAATCATTGGGTCTTGGAAATCCATAACTGGCGAGAGGTTCAAGATATCATTTTGGAGAGACTGTAAAGCCATGGTAAGCTCATCATCAATATTAGCAATTTCTGGGGTTCCGAAAGCTTGATCAAGTACAAAATTATCGGTGTTCATTGAAATAACAGAGAGTTCTACACCTTGGTTGTTTTCAGTAATGATTGAGATTGTCACCATGTCTTCTAATGGGAGGGAAGGTGTGAAATCAGGGAATGATTGGGCATTGTTCATAGTGATAAGTTCTGGCAAAATTTCGAGCATCGGTGGTTGATCAAACATCGGAGGCTGATAAAACATTGGTGGTTGCTCCATGACTGGAGGCATTTCAATGATAACTGGCTCAAACACTGGCATTTGTTCTATCATAGTTGGTTCAAAGATAGGTTCACCAGCCATAACTTGAGCTTCTTCTAAATCTTCCATATTTGGCATATGAGCAGTGAAGTGAATCATGTCGATAATGATCAAACTAGCGAGCAATAGAAGGATGAAGTAGCAGCAGTAATTAAAAATGATATACTTAAGTCTTCTCTTCAAAGCTTTTGTACTTTTCTTGATAGCTTTTCTTCCGATTCTAATATTTAGTCCAAACAAAACAGTTGAAACGGTTAAAAGTAGCGCAACAACTTCAGCTCCTGGGATTTCAAAATCTTCATCATCAAATAGGAAGATTAGGGTTGAAACTAGTGCAATGATCTTGATGATAAAGAAGATTCTTTTGATTCTGAGGATACCAAATACAGATTTCTTAGAGTTCTTGATATTCTTCTTGATGCTATAGTAAGACTAATTAGTAACTGTAAAATTACAAATTAGTTGAAATCCGTTGCACCTCAGGGTATAAAAACTTACTCTTTTTTGGTAATTGATGGTTGAACCTGGGCTTGCTCAAAGTCTGGTTGAGGCATAGGATGAGCAAACTCTTTGGGAGGCTCCAGCACAGGATAGGCTGGGTTCATCTGAATATTCTCCACAGCTACATGTCCATTCAAAGGCATGAATGGTGCTGTAGATGATGGCATATTGTTTGGGTACACCTCCCTGACATGCTCTTGCGGCATTGGAGGAGGAACATACCCAACCTTGCTTTTGTATTTCAAAGAATCCATTATCTTTAAAAATATTATAAGATCTCTTATCAGCGATTCTTATATCACCAGGGGTTTTGGGGTTTTGGGGTTTTGGGGTTTTGGGG